CCCCAGCTCACAGTCTGATCTGATGTCCCAACAGCTGCCAGGATCAACTGCTGGGCATGAGAGTGAAGATGTCTCCAGCCACAGAGGCCCTAAATAGCAAGGAGTAAAGACAAGTTTTCCCTCTGTGTCCCGAGTTTCTCTGATCCACAGAGTTCAGGAGCCTCATGAAATGACTGCTTTGTGTCACTAAGTTCTGAGGTATTTTATTGTACAGCAAAAGTGACAGGTACTCACAAATGTTAATTGATATTATACAAAAAAAAGGGGAGGAGGAGCTTCATAATTAAATATTTTGGGAAGTGCTTAGTGACACAAATTCTAAGTGGGACAGGATTGTAAATTACTATGGACTCCTCCAAACCTTTAATATACTATCACATGGAGAATCTCGGAGGAGATCATGGTAGTTGGTGTTCCCTAGACATTTTCCCAAGGGTTATCATGCTGCAAGATATGGATGGTCCAGCCCTAGCTTTATGGTGAAGTCATATGAGGTCCAGAAAGGTTCAGAGACCTGCTGAACACGCCAAGCCAGAGCCAGAACTCGGGTTGCCTGGGCCTGGCTCAGGGCGGCCCCACAGGTTGTGCAGACTCCAGCAGAAGTGTCCAGTGGCTCAGTCCTCCTGCTTCTCTGCCTGTTCCTTCAATCTCTCCTGTGGTGGGGCCTCTCTCTCTGCTTCCCTCATCTCCTTTACCTGCTCCCTCACCTCTTCCCTCTTTAAGGCTGTCCTCCTCAGGCAGCTGGACAGACAGGAAAGGGGAGGGAAGGAGAGGCAGGAGTGGGTAACACCCCCCACCCCCCGACACACCACAAGCACGCACCAGGTACACCACACGTACACACACGGTGCACACAGACACCTCACACACACGCTGCCACCTCCAGGGTTGACCTCCACCCCTCACAGCTGGGTCTGCCTCCGGGAAAGCTGCTTCCCCACCTTGAACGCTGCCTGTTGTCCCATCCTCCCAAGCAGCTCGCTCCTCCTCCTCCTCCCCTGGCCCTGGCTGGAAGAGGAACACAGCCCTCCCTTGTCCCTCCTCCTGATATTTCCAGTAAAAGCACCTCGAACACAATCTCGCTGCCACAGCCCTAATTATGTGTGAAATCATTTTTTTTTTTTTAAAGCTTGAAACCAAAGCAAACAAGGGCACACAGAGAAGCCCATTCTCCACAGCCCAGGAGGAGCAGGCCTGACTGCTGCTGGGTTACCTCAGGCCTGCACAGGGGCCCGCCTGGGTTTCGCAAGCTGCCTGCCCACCCAGCCAAGGTGCCTCCCAGGCCTGACCAGGAAAGCTGTCCACCCCTCAGAGGAAAGAGTAGGTGTCAGTTGGTCCCGCATCTTCTGCCCAGGATTACAGGAGCTTCACCCATGCCTGGCATACTGTGTGGCTGCAGGAAGTTGCCACCTTGAAAAAAACGAGGGTTCTCAGGAATAACCATGACCAGGAGCTTTCCCTAGGAGACAAAGGACATTCTCCGTCAGATCATTTTCCACCTCTGGGTTATTTTTTTTTAAATTAATCATAATGTATTATTTTATTGTATTTTAGAGTTTCGAGTACAGGGAAGTTGACTCCCATCAAGTTTCATCAAGTTTCCTGCTCTCTCATTTCCATCTCTTCCCCTTCCCACATCTTCACTCCCTCTCCACTGACACTGCTTTGGAATATGTTTAACAGGCATTCTTTATAGCTCTGTGCCTTTGAAGAGATAGTGTTCTGGGGGGTACAAGTGATTTTTTTTTTCATTGCTAGAGAGTCACTCTATTTACGACTTTTCATCTTGGCACTGTTTGGAAGATGCATCAGTTGTATCTGTGTTCTATATAGACTACCTCATAATAGTCTAGCAAGTTCCACCAATGCATTGATCTATTTGCATAGTGATGAGTACCTGAGTTGTCTCCAATTCCTTGCTACCACGAGTAATATAATAACAAAAACATCTATGTGTGTGTCCTTTGATGAATCTTTGCTTGAAAGTCTTGGGCTTATATGCCCCGGATTTGGTTTGCTGACTAGTCAGATGCTCACTTGGCCTCACAGGTGGATTGGTTTCCAGAATGCCTGAAACCCTCGTGGTTCATGAGGGTCTTACGCACTCTATATTATCCAGCTTTCTAATGATTGCCAATCTTTGAAGTATAAAATGGTGGCTTTTGTTGTTCATTTAAATGTTTTCTTTTATGTATTGAGATAAAGTGTCTCTTCAAACAGTTCCTATTCATTCAGGTTTCACTTTCTGTAAATTTCCCCATTATACTGGCTCTTGGTTTTTCCAAGTTTAAACGCACACCTGCTGGAATTGTGATGGGGAATTGCGTTAGCTATAGAGTAAAGGACAACTGACATCATTAAAGTAAATCATTCATCCAGAATCATAATTTTGTACTGAAACACAGTGCAAGCCACATATGATTTTAAAAAATTCTCAATAGACACATTTGGCTACTTGCTATGGATAGATAGTACAGGTCTATTTTTTCATTTATTCTCATACTCACTTAAGAACTTAATTTTATTTATGGAAATCTCAATAAATCATTTTGGTTAAAATTTTTGTTACTTGCAAATAAATGCTTTCTTATTTTCTGGTTAGTTTTCCTGTACTGTAGAAATGTTATTGATTTTTTCAAGTTAAATCTGGCAAATTAGCTAAACTCTCTCATTAGTACCAGTTTTGTAGGTATTCTTGAGTTTTTACCTAATTGCTCTTTTTATCTATAAGTAATAACAATTTATTTCTTCCCTTATTCAATTATTTATTTTTCTTGTCTTATTGCATTGGTGACACTCCAAATGTTGTGTTACATAAAAGGTATCTTTGACTTATTTCTAACTTTAGAAGAAATGCTGCTAAAGTTTCTCTTTCACTGTAATATTTTTGGTAGATAACTTTTATCAAGACAGTTCTCATATATTCTTAATTTCCTAAGAATTAAAAATATCATGGAGCTGGGGCTGTAGCTCAGCGGTAGAGCACTTGTCTCTCATGTGTGAGGTACAGGGTTCGATCCTCAGCACCATATAAAATAAATAAGTAATATTGTGTCCACCTACAACTATAAAAATGTTTTTTAAAATAAAATAAAATATCATAAATAAATGTTCACTTTATCTAAAACCACTTCTATATTTATTGAGTGGATTAGAATTGCCTCTACCTTTGGTGTGCTTTTTCTCTTTTTGTCTATTGATATGGTTAATTGCATAGACCTTTTTTTTTTCTTTTTCTGATATTAAACTTTTCTTGTATTCCTTGGATAAACCTGACTTGATCATCATGTTTTATTTTTTTTTAAATAAACATTTCAGTTAGTTCAAGTGCTCTCTTATTTTGGATTTTCACATTTATATTCATATATATTTTTAAAAGACTATAATTTCCTTTCCATGTGGTATCCTTTATCAATTTTGGACTCAAGGTTATGCTAATCTCAAAATCATTTTATTTATTTCATTCCTACTTCTTGAAAAAATTGTATAATATGATTATCTTTCTTTTAAAACTGTGATATAATCATCTTGTCCTAGGTACTTTTGAGGGAAGAAAGTCTTTGATTACTATTTTAATTTTTTATGTTTATTGATCTATGCAAGCTTTCTATATAGTTTTTCTGTAGCAATGTATCCAGGAAACTTCCACTTGTGTCTCATGGATCAGAACCATGGGTCCTACAGTCACTTCCCTTGTAATGGAGATTAAGAAAGTAACAATGTACTATTTCAATCTCTATAGAGAAAAGCAACAAGGAAGAAAGAAGTGGAAATAATATTGGCATCTACCACAGTCTCTAGACAACATATTATTTGATCTTGTTCTGTCTTTGTTTTGTTTATAATCCGATCAATGAGTTTAACTCATTTACATTTATTTAATTTCTAGTATATTAGGACAATTTCAACCATCTTATTTTGTGTTGACTGTATTTATGATATACATTTTCTCTCTCTTTTCTACTTTCCACGCATGAATCAGATTGTCTTCTATCGGATTGAAAGTGTATGTTCTTTTTTTATTCTTCTATTCTTCTACCATTGCTTCCCCTAACTTTTTGAGAACCATATTTAACTTTCATGATTAATGTCTTTCCATTAGCACTCACTCACTCCTTGTTGGTCTCTACATCTCCTCCACATCACCCGCTCCCTGTCATGCTGGTATCACTTACAATTGACTCATGATGGTTATAAGCCTTTTTTTAGAATTTAGTATTTCTCTTAGAGGATAATAAATCTTTCTAACTTATTTACAAATCATTTCTCATTCCTCTTTGCTTCTTCTTATTGAGCAACCTGATGTCAATGTAATCTTTGTATTTGTACATGATCTGCTTTTTCTTTCTGTAAACTTTCAGAATTTCCCCCTGTGTTGAGTGTTCTGAGAACTCTATGTTATGTGTCCTGCTTGAGTGTTTGTTTTGAGTCCATCTGTCCCATCTTGTATTCTGTCAACTTTTCAAATCCAAGTTCTTTCCTCTCTTTCTTAATTCTATGAAATTCTCAGTAACTGTTTCCTCTTGTTCATATGCTTTTTTCCTATCTGGCATTCTTATTTATAAATAAGCTCTACTAAGAGTCAAGCATTTTTCCAGGGGACAGGATTACAGCATGAAGCAAAACAAAACCATCATGGAAAACTAACACCAATACTCCTCAAATTATTCCATGAAATAGAAAAGGTGAGAACCTTTCCAAACTCATTCTATGAGGCCAATATCACCCTAAACATTGGATATGAAATGGGAAAGGAAGACAGGAGTTAATGAAAATTCAAGGTCATGAGGTGGCTACAACCATTTCAGGCACTGTTATAATCTCTTATATTTCTCTCTTAAGGGGTATTAAAGTTTCCCAGAAACTACCCAGCAGGGCCTCTTCCTGTTCCACTGGCCAGAATTGTGCCACATGACTGCCTACATCAATCAATCACTGGCAACAGGACTAACTGATCTTAGACCAGTAGTTTTCAAAGAATAACCCAGAGACTCCTGTTAGCAGGTATGAGATAAAAATTAATTTAATAACAGCAAGACATTATTTGCCTTTTTCATGCTCATTTTCTCACGAGTTGACAATGGAGTTTTCCAGAAGCTGCATGATATTGATTATGTCATTGCTTGGACAGCACATCATAGACTTGTGTATTGTTGTACTTTCTGTAATTCTGTAAGGAAAGTAAGTTTAGAGATTAACTCAGTTTGTTCTCAGTACTTCTACTGTGCTCTTAATAGCTAAAGTTAGACTTATATATGGATAGCAAGTTAGATGTTAGACTAACTTCTAACTTAGAAGCTAGACTCTGTGTGTGTGTGTGTGTGTGTGTGTGTGTGCGCGCGCGCTGGGAATTAAACCCAGGGGTGTTTTACCACTGAGTTACATCCCCAATCCTTTTTATTTTTTATTTTGAGACTCACTTGCTAAGTTGCCCAGGCTGGCCTCAAACTATCCAACTGTCTCAGCCTCGCAAGTAGCTGGGATTTCAGGTGTGTAACACCATGCCCAGCTTAGACTCGTTAACAATTTATAACCTCATTATCATTCAATAAATCCCAGATTGTTCCTTGCACTTATAGAAACACAAGAAGCACAACTTGTAATCTTGTTTTGAAATATTATTTATTTTTTAGAAAATTTTTATTTTTTAGTTGTAGTTGAACACAATATCTTTATTTTATTTATTTATTTTTATGTGGTGCTGAGGATCAAACCCAGGGCCTCTCATATGGTAAGTGAGCGCTCTACCACCGAGCCACAACCCCAGCACCCGAAATATTATTTCTTAAATGTTTAAAAGCTTTTCTGGATTTTTAAATTGTATCTACACCCCCAAATTTTAATATTTTATTCTGAAATTTTATATTTAACATATATTTATTTATTCATTTACTTATTTATTATAAATTGTTAACTTAAAAACAATGATTAGAAGACATTTTCTCGATCTATCACCAAACCACCTAAATCCAAAGATACTGGAAAAGTGAAAACGATATATCACAGAGTTTTCTGACTTATGGAAAAGATGAAGCTACTCTGAATAAATTGGGACAAACTGAAAAAAAGTAAAAATATAATGCAAGCAATCCACCCTCAACTTAATAAGTATCACCTTGTTTTGTCTTATGCATTAGAATATTTCTGAAGAGCACCATGGTGCCAAGGGCCCAGCCTAGGGAGGCAGCTACAGCAGTAGGGCACAAAATTTAAGGGGAAATCATTCTAAGCTTTGTGTAAGTGCATGGTCAGCAGAGTGAGTGCTTCCTTAAATCTTGTACCCTAAGCACCTTACTTTATGCACCACACCTAATGGGCCATTTAAGTTAGAGGATCATTTTCAGACCGATTTAAAGAAAAAGGAATTAAATGTTTTAACCATAAATGTTATAAGCTTTTAAAAAGTCAAAAATAGTTTCTTTTTAATTTTTATTTCTTTTCAAGCTAGAAATAAAAAGTCACAGAGCATTTTACAGAGTAAGTAATCAAACTGCAGTAGCAGAGAGACTAATAAAATCTTATATTGTTGATACTGCTGAATGCCAGCTGAACCAAAACTCAGTAAAAAAAAATAATAATAATAACAGCACTGTCACTTCACAATGTTAAATTTGTCAAATTAAAGCAATTTGTCAAATTAAAGATTGAGCTGCAGGAGCTGGGGTTGTGGTTCAGCGGTACAGCGATCGCCTCACACGTGTATAGCCCTGGGTTCGAACCTCAGCACCACATAAAAATAAATAAATAAAATGAAAGTATTCAATGAAGGTCCAACTACAACTAAAAAAATAAATATTTTTTTTTAAAGATTGAGCTGCAAACATGAAGACTGAGATAATCTCTCACTGGAAGAATAGTACTTTTCCTTATAAATTGATGGATGTCTCTGGATCAGCTGCTTTGCTTGTACTTGTCCCTATGTTAGCCAACTTTCTGTTACATTAACAAAATACCTGAAATAAATACTTTCTAAAGAGCAATGGTTTATTTTGGCTTACAGTTCTGGAGCTCCCAGTCCAAGATCTGGTGGATCCACTGCTTTCCTGGGAGTTGGGGCAAGCACATCATGGCAAGACATGTGATTGAGCAAAGCTGCTCATATCATGGCCAGGAAATGAAAGAGAGAAGAGTAAGGGTGTGGGTCCCCCTATTCCCTTCAATGATGTGTTTCCAGTTCCCTGCAGACCTCCCACTAGGTTCCACCTCTTACAGGTTCCACCATCTCCTAACAGTCGCACGTACTGGGGACCAAGCCTTTGGCACATGGACCTTTGGGGAAACATCCTAGATACAAACTAGAGCAGTCCCATATCAGCACTAACTAATCATCAAAAAAGCTCTTCTTTTCTGTGAGCACTTAACTATAAACACAAGTGATGCTGAATTATGTAAAGTGTTGAAGACTTTTTGGAATCTTATGGTTTATCTGGAATAATGATGTTTGATGGTGCAAAAGCAATCAATGGAGGTTAAACTGCTTAGGGCTTAGCATTCAGACAATGGCAGATTGCACTCCTTATTGTGTATGACATTGCCACACATAAGCAAAAGCTAAAGAAGATGATCCTGTGTGAGGAAATGAAAAGCATGCATAAAGCTTGAGATCACAAAGTGCATCTGCTGCATAAAGTTTAATGGTTAGCTAAAAACAAAGCACTTCTACAGTTTGAATTGCAAGCTAAACTAGCTGCTTTTACCAGAGAGCATCATTTTACACACACACACACACACACACACACACACACACACACACACACACACAATTGACCAAAAGTTGTTATCCACATTTGGATATTTAATAGAAATTTTCTTAAACAATAAACAAAGTGAACCTATCATTTCAAGGGAAAAAACTGACAGTGTTTGTGGCCAATAAGAAAATTAAAGCTTTTGAACAAAAATTTGAATTTTGGAAAACTTACATGTGATAGCTTCTTGTACCTTCACAGCTTCCCAATAAAGGTTTTTGGTGGTGACATTAATAAACATGATCCTTTGTGTGTTGTATAATAAAATGGATCAGCATTTGAAAGATGTGCATGCTTATCGAATCAATATTTTTCAAATGATCACAATGGATAGTAAATCCATTCAAAGTGCAATAGAAAATCCATCCACATCAACGGATTTTAATGTCTCAGGTTATAGAAAAGATATAATTTCAGACATCAAATTGCAACTAACTTTGAAGAAACTCCAGGGCTGGGAATGTAGCTTAGTGATCGAGCACTTGTACAGCATGCATAAGCCTTCCATGACCAGCACTGCCAAAAAAGAAAAAGGAAAAAAAGAAGCTACCACTGGTTGAGTTTTATCATATCGACAATTTTCTGAAGAGGCTGTTAAAAGGGCTATCCTCTCCTTTACAACTGGATATTCTCACAAGATTTTTTGTGTTAGAAAATCTCTTATAAAAATAAGTTCTTTAATTTAGCATATAATGGGGCTGGTCTAATTTTTCAATTAACTAATAAATTTTTTAATACTTAGATTTAATTTCTGATATAGTAATATTGGTTAATGTGATACAAAACAAGCAAAGGCCTTTTGGGGAGAGTTCAATTTTTTCTTCACATCAGGTGGATAATATGCCCACATTGTAACAAGGTTTGAGAGAGGCACATCTCACAGGATGGTGTAAAAAAAAAAAAAACATGATCATATTTATGAACCACAAAAGGATCAAGGGGACTTCAATATTTGTTTGTATGTTTGTTTGTTTTGCAGTACTTGGAATGGCACCCAGAACCTTGCTCATGCTAGGCAAGCACTCTACCACTTCCCCAACCTGGGACTTTGGTTTTTAAGAGTGTCCTGAGAACAAAGGATTTGAGAACCACTGGTTTACGTCCAGGCAGGATTCGCCCTCTGAGACCAGAGATGGGTCAACTTTCCCATGAAGCCCATGGCTGCCTCAATGTAAAGGAGGCTTGAAAAATCTCCAGATTCTCCAAGGAATGAGTATGGGTAAGTAGTGAGCACTCTATTACACAGCACAGTGAATTCTGGCCTGGACCAGGGACTCTTGGGACACTTCTAATCAGCAGCCAGCACATTAAGCCCAGTCAGTACACATTGTGGTAGATGGTTAGAGTAGGGCACAAGGGACCTTTCTCTTGAAGAATAGGGAGACTTTGTGAGGCATGAGCCATCTGCTCTGCAGTGCTTCATGGCCTTTTCTGCAAATGGGCAGCCCACTGGCTGTGCAGACCTTCTGGATGAAGTGAACCATTCTGACTCTCCTTAAAACCCACCCCCAGCTCATTTTTCTACCATATTTACAAAATAAAAAGTGACAACTGACAATTTAATTCCCCAGCCTAAACATACTAACATCCTCTATCTGTTCAAAACACTGAAAATTCCAGTTCATACAGAATAGATGTCTACATTATGGCCCCAACTTGTCTTCCCAGACTTCCTGAATAAGTTAACTGAGTCATTAAGAGAATGCACTCTGGAGCCAGGCTGTCCAGCTTCAAGACCCAGTTCTACCAACCACCTATCAACTGAATGACCAGAACAGTGGTTTGCTGGTGAATGTTTAACACCTGGCTCTCTGGGTGGGTTTTCAGTCCTTATTCATAGCATTTGCCAATTTCCACAGTGTAAATATTTCCACTATGGCCAGTTTTGAGCCACCAGTGTGATATCTCTAAATTCAGAGTTGACAATTGGCTCTCAAGGACCAATGCAACCTGTCTCCAGTACCCATTGGACTTTGAGCAAGTTACCTATTCACCTGGCCTGGCCTCCTCATCCCTAAAGTGGGGATAATGAGTGTCTTGCTATGACATAGTTATAAGGATCTAGTTGCATGAGGTAGTGGTTCTCAAGCTTGTGTGTGCATCAGATTCATCCGGAGGGCTTGTTAAAACACTGCATGGTGGGCCCCTCTCCCAGAGATTTTGATGGATTGAATCTGGGTGGGAACCAAAGATTTGTATTTTTAACAAGTTCCCAAACAATGATATATTGAGAATCACTAGTGGAGCAGCTATAAAAGGCTTAGCTCTGTGCCTAGCACAGAGATGCCCAATATATGTTGGCCCTTATTTATATGATGCTTCTAGACCCATCCCCCATGGGCTGTGCTGAGCCTCTTGATATTCCCTAACCTGCACTGTACCTCTCTATCTCCACACATTTGCTCCACTCTTCTCTCTGCAC